GCACAGGGACAGTCAGAGGGGGGAACTGAACCGGGCAGTGGTTCCTTGTGTTGTACGTCGGAAGGCCCCTAACAATTAATACCCAATGATAATTATTTGAGTGCTAATTTAATTATATGAGCTTATTTAAAGACTGTAAGGAACTGTCACGTATGTCTTGGATGGGCGGATGAACTGTAAGGGAAGACCTGGCCAAACTTGGCTTACCTGGGGGTGCGGGGTGACCTGGCCCATCTTTGGGAAGAGGAAGTCCCGCCCCTGACGGAGGTGGTGAGGCTAGTACTGCTGTCCCACAGCGCCTTCTGGTGGCAGAACATGGGGACTGCCGCCCCACAAGGTAACCAAAACCAAGTCCTACCCAGTTCTCAGGTGCGGATGGGTTCACTCCAGCTACCGCATCGCTGCCAGTGCTGTACCCTCTGCCTGCCCACCTTTGAGCCTCAGCTCTGCTGCCGCCTCCTCCAGGAAACCTTCCCTGATCTCTAGGGGTGTGCTTAACGCTCGGACCCGATCACAGCCCCAGTCACCATAGCTGGGACCCCTGGTTGTGTGTCTGTCTCCTGTACAGACCCATTAGTCCAAGGGCAGGGACACGATCAGCCTAAGTCAGCTGTGTCCCCTGCCACCTGGAAGTCCCCGCCCTCCCATATAGCCGGTGCTGTGCCCATATAGTCCTGAATGAAGAATGTGCCCGTACAGCCCTGAATGCAGGAATGAATGCATGCATGGGAGGTGCGTTCATCAGCTTGTGGGATCAGGGACGGAGGGGGAAATCAAGAGGTTTTTTGGTTTTGTTTTTAAGCATTCGTGAACATTCATTCAACACATTCCTTGAGCACCTACTGTATGCCAGGCGCTGAGACCAGCCTGGGATGAAGTCCCGTCTGGGGGTACAAGACAGGTCAATGCATTTGGTTTCTCACGCGGATCCAGAGGCAGCCATGGGGACAGAACAAGGGCACACTGCACGGTTTAACGTCGAGAAAGCTGTGTGTCAGGGCTGTGCCCTCCCCCCATACTGCTCCAATCCGTGCCCAGCAAAGCCTCAGAGAAGCCAGACCACCTGAAGAAGTCGGCACCAGGGCTGGAAGAAGGCTTACCACAACCTGCAAGGCACAGACAGCCTGCCTTGCTTGTTGAAGCCCTTGCTGGGGAAGCAAGTGCACGGCTCACAGCCTTCCGTGTGGATCACAGCTCAATGTAAGGAAACAAAAATCTCAACAACGGTGAGAAGGAGAAGAACACATTCTGAAACTGCTGGGGATTGCACCAATCTCAAGTAGGACTGAACGATTAAATTGTATGATAGGCGAAGTATATGTCAATAAAGCTGCTATTTTTTTAACCCCCCACAACTGCATCATGATGAACAGAGACAAGATTGAAGTGGCCAAGGACGTCGTCTTGCCTGGGTCCACGATCAATGCTCATGGGAGCAGCAGTCAAGAGATCAATTTACTGCACAAGAGCTCTTGAACGTGTGCAAAAGCAAGGAGTGCTGTGCCAAGGAAGGCCCGAATGATGCACTGAATAAGGCCGCCAGGGCAGAATTGATGCACTGGGAATCACGGCGCGGGCCAAGAGTGCTGAACGTGCCACGGGCTACCAAAAGAAGGACAAATCTGTCTTGGGAGAAGGGCAAGCAGGTTGCTCCTGAGAGGCAGGGAGGGTCACATTTCATCCCATGTTCTCTGGACGTGGGATCGGGAGAGAGCAGCCCTGGGGGAAGCATATTCTGCTTAGTGAAGCAGAGGGGCAGGGACAAAGAGGAGGGACTGACACGGGGCTGCAGCTCAAACACAAGGGCGGTCAGGAGGGTGGTCCGGGCCATAGGGTGGCTGTGCGTTGGAACTGATTTGAAGGCACCCAGCAGTAAGGTCTGCCGCATGACTAAATGCCACTGAAAGTGCCATGGCGATGAACTGTACAACTTCTTTAAAGCTCCCCCGCACGATCCCAATTCCACCTTACAAGTCCGACTAGACCAGAGCATGTACACAGGTACAGATCAGAGCTGGAGACACGGAATCCAGGACAGATGAACCCCTCAGGACCAATAATGAGCGTAGCCATACCAGGAGGGTGAAGGGAAGGTGGGAGGAGAAAGGTAGAATCGATC